AAAACTCAACTTTATGAGGGTAAGCAATTCACAACCAAAATTAAGTCCATAGTCCTCAGGGGCTGGCCAGCTTTCTGTAAAGGACCAGGTACTAAACATTTTAGGCTCCGTGAGCCCCACACAACCTCTTGCTTTGTTTTGGTTTGTCTTTTGTTTGCAACTCTTTCAAAATGTAAAAACCATTCTTAGCAAAGCAAGAAGGCCTGCACAAAAAGAGGCCGAGAATTTGGCCAACTCCTGATATAGATGGAATTCCACAGTGTTGGCTGCTCGGTCATGTTCGACTCTGCAACCCCATGGATGGTATGTAACCCACCAGGGTCCTCTGTCCATGGAATTCTCCAGGCAAGAATACTGGAGTGGGTAGCCATTCCCTTCTCCTGGGGAATCTTCCCAGTTCTATCTAATAATAAAGTCTCAGGAAAACAAGTCAGAACCATTCCTTTCTGGAATATTTCACAGCAATATGTCTGAGCTGCATGCAGGAAACTAGATGGCAGTCAAGAGTGGCTCTGGACTGGGAGCAGCTTCCCCAGGGAACAGTCTTTGTAGCTTTCCTTTTAAAGTCTCTGAAGTCCCCAAGGATACAATGTGGCATTCATTTAACATTTCTAACAGCATGACACTTGTCACACGTCTGCAGCTTTGTCACACTTTGGCCCTAGGCCTTTTATATAACGCTCAGGGGAGAGCTCACATCATTGGAGTATTTAACCTCCAGACTTCAACGACACACGTGGCAAAAACAACAGAGAAAGTTAGAGCAAAAATACATCTACAGTGCTACAAATCTACTTGGCACCTGCACTGTATTCTATTCCTGCTTTTACTGTAAGTTATACATTTATGCATAAGGATGACTATATCTGGGGATACATATGCAAAGGCAAGTGTATTGCATTTCACAGGCACAGTAAAAGAGCTCCCAGGGTGATTCTGAAGCTACTCAATCTCCATCTCATATGTTGCCTGGAGGTGCCAGTCTTCTTTCTCTCGCATCTCTGTGGTCTTCAGTACAGGTCCACCAACTTCATAGGTGACCATCAAGTTGTGACAACTCCTACCTAAGAAAACTGACACCCCTACATTGTCCCTGACAGCTCAGTTGGTAAAGAATCCGCCTGCAGTACAGAAGACTCCGGTTCGATTCCCAGGTCTGGAAGATCCCCTGGAGAAGGGACAGGCTCCCCACTCCAGGATTCCTGGGCTTCCCTGGTGGCTCAGCTGGTAAAGAATCCATCTGCAGTGTGGGAGGCCTGGGTTCGAGCCCTGGGTTGGAAAGACCCACTGGAGAAGGGAAAGGCTGCCCACTTGAGTATTCTGGCATGGAGAATTTCATGGACTGTACAGTCCATGGGGTTTCAAAGAATTGGACATGACTAAGTGAGTTTCACTTCACTACACTGTCCACTGACCACAGCCTCAGCTCTCCTCTGCCCCCTTCTCACTGGGCTGGACTTCTTACCTTAAGAGGGACCCCCAGGCCCTTGATGCTTACATGTTTCCAAGACTACTAACCCCAAACAGCCCCTCTTCCCCTGTTCAGCTGAGACCTGGTGGTCATCCTCTGTAGTGCCTTCTCCCCATATTCTAGGTTTTCTGGCACCAATTCCACACCCCCCCCACCCCCACCCCTACCCCGCAACCTCTTGCTTTTCTTTCTCATTAAAATCCCAGCTCTAGACACAGGGCAATGATTAAGAACAAAAGCAAAGGAATGAGACTTCTGAATTTAAATCTTTCTCGTCTGGTACTACCGTGTGCTCTGCTTACTCGCTTAGTCGAGTCTGACTCTTTGCGACCCCATGAGCTGCAGTCTGCCAGGCTCCTCGGTCCATGGAACCTCCCAGACAAGAATACTAGAGTGGGTTACCATGCCCTCCTCCAGGGTACAATCTTAGCCTAGTCATTTAGTCCACTGTGCCTCAGTTAGCTGCTCTGTAAACTGGGAATCATAGTAGCTCTTACGGGCCACAGGTGAATCTAGAACCAGGCTGGTAAGAGGAAAACCAGACCCAGGCCCAGAAGACGCCTTTCTATTTGCGGAGAACGGTGAGGTTTAATTTTTCAGACTCACAAACAACCCACGAAATTTTTAGTGAACAGAGAGCATGGTGTCTCTCCATGGTTAGAACCAACAGTTAGAGCCAATCCACCTTAGAAGGGCTAAGCTGCTGGTTTTCAAAATTTGAAATTACAGCAGGTTCTTATATTTTCAAGTGTTGCTACCTGGGTGGTGGTGGTGAGTTAGAACGGCTTAATCAGCAGCATCCACAGAACTCTCTCTGGTTCTACAGAGAGGCACAGTCATGGGTATCCTCATCTACTCTCCAAGAACAGGCTGTATAGATCTATTATCTGGGAACCCTCACTTTCCTGAGACTCTCCAAACTGAGCCCCCTGACTTCCAAGCCCTACCTTCAACCAGCTCCATGCCTGGAACGGGGCAAGTTCCCCCTCCTTGCCACACTGGTCTCTGCATACAAGTCCCAGAAGAATACACTTGCTAATCTCAGTCTGCAGCAGCCCAACATTGCTATTCAGATCACACCTAAGCATGCCCCCACCCCTGACCAACAAGGAGAGGAGGACCTCGTTCCTCCATTGCTACCAGCGGGGAGTGCATCCAGCCCTGGGTCCTGCTTCCGTCTCGTTGCTCTGAAGGCCGTGCACTGAGAACTTTGTCTGCCTCCTGTGTGTCTGGCGACCGCCTCAGCTTTCTCTCCGAGGCTCCGGCTGGGTCTGCGCTCACGGTTTTTAGACCATCACGGCAGTCCATCCCACAGTCACACACTCTGCTCCAGAACTGCCAGATGGAGCCCCATGCGGAAGCCTGATCCTAATCGTCATACTCCTCCAAATGCACCAGTGGGTCTAATCCCCTGTGGTCAGGAGTTAGACAGTAACTCGCCGGTCCTGGGTTTTCATCCTACCTACCCAGACAGAAACACTGGTCCATGTTCTCCGTGTTGGCCATTTCCCTCAGCTCACCCACCGGCTGTGAGCACTCAGAACTCTTTATTTATTTAAAGACGGGCCTGGCTGTAATTGGTGCCTCGATGCTGTCTAACCATACTGTTTCCCAACCATGGCCCAGACCTAATCTCCACCTCTCTGCCTCTAAACAAGCCTAACACTCGTTAACGTGTTTGTAAAGGGTCAGTGGTTGGTGCCACTCCACACGTGGGACTCCAGCCTCTGACTCAACGTCTTCATCCAGGTAAGAACCCAAGTCCACATGTGCAGCTGTCTCTGGATCCAGAGCCTTGTCCCCAGGTGAGCCCATCTAGTCCAAAGGCAGGCAAGAGACATCACTCATGACAGATTTCCTCACATGGTGGAGAGGTGAATGCCTATAGGAATCTTTGGAGCTGATGTTAGGCAAACAAAAGCTGGTTCCAAAGACCCACTTCTACAGACTTCAGAGAGCACGATGCACGTAAATTATACTGGATTCTGGCGAATCTGTTAACATCAGAGGGTCAAGCCTAGACTCACTGGAGAAGCAAGTGCTAGAACCCAAGGGAAGTGTTTGGAGCCTGTTTGAGCTTGTCTCTGTGAGACGCTGAACTAATTGTGGTTTACTTAACAGATGAGCTCTGACTTAGACTTTCTAAAGAGAAAAACACATGGTAAGGCAAGTAGTGTGAGAAGAGGGAAGAGACTCCACAGGAAGGAAGGTATGGAAACAGCAATTAGAGGATATAAGTTACTCTTTGAAGAAAGAAGAGCAGTGGAAGGCAGGAAATATCAATGTTGACATGAACTGGGTTGAAAACTGCTACATAATAAATCCACATTTGTATAGCAAATGTAATTTTTTAAAGCACTTTATCTACATTATCCTGTTGAAATTTACAAAAAGCTTATGAAACATACAAGAGCTGTAAAATTTTTACTACTCTATTAAAGAGAAGCAAATGAGATGCAAGAAGATTAAATAATTTAAGGCGGGAAGAAAGGACTTGAATCTTTAATTCTCAGACTCCAACACCCGTGCTCTGCCAACTATATCAGTGGGTCTCAAACAATATTCTCCAAGTCACCAAGAAAAGACTTCATTCTGTGTGATTCTATTTACATAAAGTTCAAGAGAAGGCAAAATAGATAATATGGTAATAGAAATCGGAACAGTGCTATTCTACAGGTGGTTGAGACTGACTGGGAAGGGACAGGAGAGCTTTCTGATCTGTATTTTGATCAGGGTGTAGGTTACATGCATGTACATGTACACTGTTCCCGAAACCCATAAGGTTGCATATTTAGAAGTTCTGCATTTCATGCATGTACATTTCAACTCAATAAAACAAAAATAAATATCCTAATTACAGAATGTATTAAATCAATTCAAAACTCTGAGATCTTGATTTGATATTTATGTTCATCCATCGCTAAGTATTAAGGCTACAGTTAATTTCATGTCTGGAACCACCACACAGAAATTGTTGACTACATCATCATAAGAGCACTCTACAACAAAGCCCATATTCAAAGCATAAAAACTGAACACCACAGTTATTTTGCCAACAGCATGAACTAAATATATTCAAAATACCTCAGGGAAGTAGGTCTACTGAGGAACATCACCTGGCAAGTTTCAAGAGGTTGGCAGTAAATAGAAGCACCGCTTTTACTTGGCAGAAACTGTTCTCGTTTGGAGGGAATAAGGAGGAGAAAAGCTGCTGTTGCTACCACAATTTGGTCTACATCCTTCCAATCGCTTAGGCCCAAACTGCTACGCTGTGAAAGTTGGCTGGGGCTGAGTAGCAGCTGTCAGACACTCCTTCTTCATCTAGTTTGAAAATACCATAGTCCCCACCACTCCCTATTGCACCAATATGCTGATATTTACTGCCTAACCCACTTAAGTGATCTTTTTTTAAAATTTCAGATTCAAACTGTGAATGCATTCCAAACAAACTCTGTAAGTTTTGCAGACAAACTGAACAGCAATAGTGATTTTTCTTGAATAAAACCAACTGAATATAGGCTATACTTACTCGCAGAGAAGGATTCCATTTTCTAATCCTGTCCGAAAATCTTTATCACCAAAACTTCGGCCGGTTACTTGCTGGAAAAGAAAAGCAGAGAATAATTTTTTTTTTCTTTTTCAATCAGGAAGCTCAATGATTCTTTTTCAAGATATTTCAAGAGACTTTAAATAACTGGTAGCATTCCAGGAATGGGAAAAATCTGTTAGGTCTGAATTTCCTTTCCATGTGTAACTTTGCTTAGCTCAGCTAATCTTCAATAGACCATTTCTTTGAAGTTTTTTTCTTATTCAAAACTTTAAAAATATCTGTTCTTCCTGATAAGGATATTACTTTGGCGGTTTGGCCATGATAAGTCAAGGTCACAGCCTCTTTCATCTTGAGGACCCAACCTACACTTTCAATAAAGCCTGCAGAAAGTACCACCTAAGGATAAAGAATCCATTTGTTAAAACATTAAGAGGCAGAGAGAAGGACCCAGAACGTCTAACTTTGAGAGACTAACATCAAGACACTATGGAAAAAGCCAATACCCATGCTAACATGGTATGAAAAAGCAAAATAAAAACTGGGAAAGAGTGAACCATGCTGAGCACTGATGGCTTCTCTTGATGCCTCCGACACTCAGTAGCCCTTTGGTCTGGACACCAAAGCATTCATTTTTTTACTCGGTAAATATTTACTGAGCATCTACAATATGCCAGGTAAATATGCATGCTGTAAATCCTAAAGCAACCTCTAAAATAGCAAAATTTTAAAATAAAGTAAGTAAGTCAAGAAAGGAGATTAAATAGAATTATAAAAAAAAAAATACCCTAACAATAAAAAAGAAAAAAGGGAAAAAGAATACAGAAAAGATGGAATAAATAAAAAACAAATATCAATATTATAGACTTAAACCTAACCATATCAATCAGAGCATTAAATGTAAATGGTGTAGACACCCCTAAGTAAAAGAAAGATTGCATTAATAAAGCAAGACCCAACCATGTGATGCCTACAAGTAACATACTTGAAATAGAAAGATATGAATAGGTTAAAAGCAGGATAGAATAAGATATACCATGCTAACACTAATCAAAAGAAAGCTATAGTGGTTATATCAACTTCTAAAACAAAGAATGGGCTTCCCTGGTGGCCCAGAGGTTAAAGCATCCACATGCCAATGCAGCAGACGCAGGTTCGATCCCTGGGTTGGGAAGATCCCTTGGTGAAGGAAATGGCAACCCACTCCAGTATTCTTGCCTGGGAAATCCCATGGACGGAGGAGCCTGGTAGACTCCAGTCCATGGGGTCACAAAGAGTCAGGCACAATTTAGCAACTAAATAACAAGAGAATAAAGAATAATACCAGAGCAGAGAAAGTCATTTTATAGGGACAAAATGTTTAGGTCACCAGAGAGATAATTCTAAACATTTTTACACCAAATTTCTTTAAAAAGCTTCAAGATAGACACAAACCAAATCAGATAGATCTACAAGGAGAAATAAATAAAGTCACAACTAGAGTCAGAGATTTAATATCTCTCTTCAATAATTGATAGAATAAGCAGACAGGAAATCAATAAGGATATAGAAGGCTTAAACAACATTATCAACAAAATTGACTTAATTGACATTTCTAAAATATTCCACCCTACAACAGCAGAATAAACATTATTCCTCTTAAGTTCACAATAAACATTTTTCTTTTTTTTTAAGTTCACAATAAACATGTATTGAAGTAGACCAAATTTTGTGTCAGAAAACAATTCCCCACAAACTTAAAATGAATTACTTAGAAATTAACAACAAACATCCTTAACCCCAAAATTTTTAACTAAGTAATACAATTCTAAACAACCCATTGTTCAAAGAAGAAATAAAAAGAAATTAGAATGTATTTAAAGGTGAAAGAATATGGCAAAATAAAAATGTATGGAAAGACTGTAAGGCAGTATATGGGGCAAATATATTTTTAAAAAGATCTCAAATCATTGACTTCTGCTTCTACCTCATGAAAATTTAGCCCAAGTTAAGTAGAAAAAAAGGGAAAATTCTATCAAAGTTGAAATCAATCAAGTAGAAAATCAAAAAGTTATAGAGGAAAAAAAATCAGTGAAATAAAAAGTTGGTTATTTGAGCTCAATAAAACTGATAAACCTTTAGCTAATAAAATTAATAACCTTTGGTTTCTAGCCAAAAAAGAAAGACACAAATTACCAACATCAGGAATGACATGATGTCATTACAGATTCTATAGACACTAAAAGGATAACTAAGAAATATTATAAGTAAATCTGTGCCAATAAGTTCACCAACTTAGATGAATTGAATAAATACATTCTTTGACACAAACAACCATAGTCCACTCAAAAAAATAATAATAAAAATAACCTTCCCAAACAAAAAATGCCAGGTCCAGAAGGCTTACCTGGCAAATTACAGCAAATACTAAAGAAAGAAGTGATGCAACTCTATATACACTCTTGGAGACAAACGAAAAGGAAATAATACTCTCCACTATGGGTGGCTTATGAACCACCTAAAAATTCCTATGTACTACTTAAAATTATTTTGTATGTGATGCATAGAAACTAAAAAATTTCAAGTAGAGTTGGTTTAATAGTCTAAAGTCTGCCTGCTAATCAAGAGGCACTCTGAGTAAATTCAATTTCCTAGGTTTCTAGCTGTAGAAGTGAGAGTAGGGACCATCATGTGGAGGCAGGTGCTCATCTCCACCTCTGTCCCTTCCCCTCTGCCTCCTCCCCCATCTCCCGTGCCCACTAGGTCCCCGTATAACCTTGACACTGCTCTCCACTGGTCCAAACGCCATCTACTCTTCCAAGTCCAGGTTATTTACTGTAGAGGCACCTGGACCTTTGTCAGGAGGGTCAACAGCTGAATAGACTCCAGAGATTCAGCAAGGACTGTGCCACTGAAACGTCTGGTCCTGAGACTAGTAGGGACAGCAGCATCTTCGTTTGGAATTAATGTTAGACATACAGGCTCTCAGTCCTCCCACTGTCTCCAAGACTGACTTAGAACAAGCATTTAAAAAGCATCCCCCCCACAAAGAAATAAAATAAAATAAAAAGCATCCCCAAGGAAGCTGTGGTACATATATACACCATGGAATATTACTTAGCCATTAAAAAGAATTCATTTGAATCAGTTCTAATGAGATGGATGAAACTGGAGCCCATTATACAGAGTGAAGTAAGCCAGAAAGATAAAGACCATTACAGTATACTAACACATATATATGGAATTTAGAAAGATGGTAACGATAACCCTATATGCAAAACAGAAAAAGAGACACAGATGTACAGAACAGAATTTTGGACTCTGTGGGAGAAGGTGAGGGTGGGATGTTTCTAGAGAACAGCATCGAAACATGTATATTATCTAGGGTGAAACAGATCACCAGCCCAGGTTGGGTGCATGAGACAAGTGCTCGGGGCTGGTGCACTGGGAAGACCCAGAGGAATCGGGTAGAGAGGGAGGTGGGAGAGGGGATCGGGATGGGGAATACATGTAAATCCATGGCTGATTCATGTCAATGTATGACTAAAACCACTACAATACTGTAAAGTAATTAGCCTCCAACTAATAAAAATAAATGAAAATAATAATAATAAAAAGCATTCCCCATGTGACTCATATGTAAAGTAAATTTTACAAAGCCCTGACCTTGTATATTAAGTAAGTCCGAAGTTCATACTCAGAAATGGAGGACATCTCGTTGGAATCAGGATTTTGGATGACCTGTCTCAATGACCCATCTTAGCAACATCTTTTTAATGTATTTACAAAGTCACACATTGCATATTTTAACAATAAAGACTGTTAATTACCATTCTCTTTGTAACAGCATAAGCCATTGCTATTTTTTTTTTTAAAAAGCAAAATACCTACCAAGAATCAGCCACCATTACCAACAGACCATGAGCAGGGGAAATAAAAAGTGACTGCTAAACTCTTCACTAATCTTTCCACCTGGACCCCGACTGACAGGGGACTCTCAGGAACCTTCCAGACAAGGCACTGGCCAAGCCATCAGCCCGTGATCACTCTCTAAGGACCCATAACAGTATGGGAAGATTAATAGAGCCCTTAAAAAGGTGGAGATCTGGGACGTGTAGTGGGTGGGAAGAGAGCCCAGGTTCAGAAGCATTCAGGGGCTAAGAGGGGAAGAGAAGCGTGCAACGTCAACTGCACTTTCTCACCCCAGCAAATCTTGCTCTTCACACCTTGCTGATCCTCACCTACCTACCAATGAGTCCTTGCAACCCTACCCTTGCAGTTGTCGTGCATGACCCCAATCTTTCGTGCCCAGTCATACCCAGTAACAAACCCTGTTGATTCACCCTTCGGAATTTAGCCAGAATCCAACCACATCTCCCACCTTACTCTGAGCCTTCATCATCTTACACCTAGATGAGAGTCTCAGTTGGCTCACTGCTTCCACCCTTGCCTTCGTCCATCTATTCTCAACCCAGCAGCCAGGGTAATCCTGTCAACTTAGGTCATGTCACTACTCCATTCAATCTCCACTCCATACTTCCCCATCTCACTCAGTAAAAGCCAAAGTTTCTACAGTTCTCTGAAGGCGTTAAGCATGAACACAAACAAAGGGACATGGACGAAGCTATTAAACACCACCATTATTTTAAGGGTGGATACAATGAACTTGCATACATCTCCCTCATTCATGGGGGTCCTCAGAAGTACTCAGGGTGGCAATTACATCACCAACTATGCCCGGCAAGCCTTCCAGGAGAACCCAATGCCAGATTTTTTTCCTACTTTATGGTTTAGAATTAATTCACTTTCTTTACTAACCAAAATATTTGTTGGATGGACATGCTTTGTCAGACTAAAACAGTCTACGAATGGATAACATACCAAAACCTTGATAGTTTTAGAGGAAAAGAATCACTTTCTTCTACCTTAGCAATCAAACCAAAAGCAGAAGCAAGAGGATTTTGTGACATGTCATCACACTATTTTATGCAAGTAATTATTGGTAATAAGCTCATCTGTACTCAATTTCCTTCCCATAATAACTAAAGGTAATTACATTTCTGAGTTTGTCCAT